TATACCATGTGTTACATTAATAAAATGCCCATTTCCACCCTCGGAGGGCGATCGATGATTGATGCAAATTATACAGTATAATATTTTATCTGATTGCATTACCACAGGATGGCAGTAATGCTCCACGCAAACAGTGAATTTATGCATAAGAACTTGCTCGGTAAAAGAAGACTAAGGTCCATCTAGTTCGCCTTACACCATACTGGCAGTCGCTTGACATGTCGTGTCCCAAACTATACGCTGTACCCTGAGATATTATTTTCTACCCTGTGCATGTTTTAGATGGACAATGTACCCATTTCCATCACCGGAAGGCGATGATACATGCAAATACATTATGATTTATCCTTAAACAGTGAATTGACTCTGTACGTCACTTGATTACGTCACTAAAGTCATCAAAATGGTCAGTGTGGAAAACAAAAAGCTCCTGTGAGGCGAGCGTGCTAACCACTACGCTACAGAACTCCAGAGATTAAATCGGTCAATACAAAAAACATCGCCGCAAACTATAAGGAAACAAATATTCAGATTGGAAATAAAATGAATGTGTGGAAGAATTTTGTTGGAAGCTTAACTAACTCTCTACCCTTGGCCTAGAAAAAGATTCCAGCATGATCTAACGGGTATAAAATGGACAAATGAGACGGGAATATTAGCAGTCCCAACACCTCTAAACATTCTACTATTGTAATAATAATAATAATCCTTGCATTTGATACAGCATCTTATCATGTCTTCGATGTCTCAAAGCGCTTCACAGAATATACTGTAAAGTGAATTGACTGTATATATTTGTGGGCGAAATGCAGCAGCCAATGGCGCACAGCAGTGTGTCCCACAAACACACTATTTTGTGTAGGGTGAAGCTGGGGAAGGCGTTGGAATCATCCAGCTCGGAAATGACGAAGGAGTGGACGAGACAGAAACGGAGGTGGAAAAAAGCGGTCCTGGTCAGGGAACAGATGTGTTGTAGAAAGGAAAGCCGGGGATCGAATCTGGGTGCTAACCACTACGCTACTCCACAAGTTAAATCGCTCTCACTCTCTTTTGGTGTCTCTCTCACTCAGAGAGACAGCGAGTGTTGTGTGATGTCGTTGTGCGCAAATTGACTGCCATGCTTGCCTACAGAATACAGTGAATCCTTCAAGACACATCTCAGGACTCACCTCTTCGACTGCACCTTCAGTCACTCTCCCACCACTACCCTCCCTGCCCTCCACCCCTCCTGATCCCAACTCCCAGCTCGGGTCCTAATCCCTGACTGTCCAGTGCCTTGGGACGTCCTCCCGACGTGAAAGGAGCTGTGTAAATGTAATTTGTTGTTGTTGTTGACACGGTTAAGCATTTTGAGACATCCTCCTGATGGGAAAGATGCTATATTTTTTAATAACCTGCATGTTATCTGTGTATATATATATAGGATTATATATATTATATATATATTCCTTGCATTTGATAAGTCTTTATCATATCTTTGAGACCCACTTCACAGAATATACTGTAAAGTGTATTGACTGTATACTTTGTGGGCGAAACGCAGCAGCCAATTTGTCCCACAAATAGGCATGGATTGAGTGACCCCATTTTTATTTTACTTTTTTTTTCTTTGAAGGGATAACCCCAACTGAGTACCTTTATTTCCCAGAATTTGGTCTAAACTAATCAAATCCAGTCTATAATAAGAATAAGAAGGAAGTCCATATGGAGTTAGACCAAAAATAAGCCACGTCTCTGGAGAAAGAAAATCGCCCAGGTCTCTGGGGAAGAAAAATTTTGACTAGTACAAAACATGAGGGGTAAGGGAACCCCATTGGTTTTGTTCAGTTATTAGCACAGCGGACTGAACAAAACCAATGGGGTGCCTTACCTGTTGTCATCAAACTAAGTTCATTTCACTTTTTAATCACAATTAATGAATATATTTTGTACACACAAGATTATGCTGTTACATGTGGCTCTCAGTTAACCTTGTAGTAAAGGCTCTGCCCGATATTGTAGAACCCTGAACGGACCAGAAGGTCCAGGTTGGATTCTGCTTAACCAGTGCTGAGCGTGAAAAGGTACAAAAGAGAATCAAGGCGGTACTAGCTTTAGTTAACACCGCAAGTTTTCCGCAAGTAACTGTAAAGGTTTACCTTGGGAGCTCAGGTTTTTACTGGTTTCTTACTTCCTCAAAAGGTGAAGAACAAACAAGATATTTGTCTTTTTTGCCACAAAATATTTGTCCTTCATGTAAAAACTATAACACAGAGTATATGGCAACGGGTCAAGACTCATTGAATCACAGGATTAATAGTTTTAGCCCGTCACCAATTGGGCATTTACTAGCTGGATTAAATTACATGTGCATAATGTAGATTATTGATTAAATCAGATTTTCTACAAGAGGGTCTGAGTGAGGGAGAGAGACTCTGAGATTTGTGTATTCGCCGTGCAAGTGAGAGGACACGGATTTGATTCCTGGGTAGGGCAAAACCTTAGGCAAGTGTTCTTACTC